AGAGACAAATTTTTTAAATGTTTCTGCCTTTTTGTAAGTGATGGCATACTCAATAAGAAGAAATGAACAAATGGCAATGGTCCTTTATCAATTATTTACAATGTGTAACGTGGCAAATTCAGGTCAATCACTATAGATAGTCACTCAAATTAAAATTGCCATAACTTTTTAATTATAATTGTTCAACCCCAAAACTTTTCATAGAATTATTCTTTGGAATTTACTATATAAAACTATGAAGAGTTTGAATCCAAAAGTGCTCTGTGTGTCCACGTGTTAGGCTTCAAAAATGCAGCGCAAAATTGGTTGGTATTAGATGACTCGAGCTGTACTATTATCTGGCTGGAGGAGTTGTCCGACTTATAGCTTAACAAGAGTTTATATATGTGTTCGACTTATCAAGAAATTTTTTAAATATAAAAAAAAAGGGTTGGAAATTTTGTCCGAATCCGACTTATCGAGTTTATCTGTGTATATTAATATTATGATGTTTGATCATTATATATTATTACATTACCTTCTAGAAAAAGCATTTTGCGGATCCCTGCGCCCGTGCTTTTCTAGTATCACCTTTTTCTTTCATCCTACATGTTATCCTCTTCAATTTTTTATTTTTTTAATTGGTCCATTCTTGGATTGCTTCTATTGTTTCCCTTTTATAGGATTTGTTTTTTATTGATAGAAGTTTTTTGCATCATATGCCATTCACGAAATGAAAAATTTGGATTCAACTCTGTTTTTTATCAAATAAGTGTTTGAAATCCTTCTACGACTTCAATTTCTGTTAAATATTTTTGGTCACCAGTTGGTTTGCGTTTTTCTAGACTCTATTAGATTAATTATTTTGTCAACCTTTGGTTGATATTATAGAGCTGATTTTATAGTGATATTATCCGGTTAAGGAATTTTTAAACGGCTTAGCCGGCCAAAAAAAAATTTCTCTTGACATTCATTTTTACATCTGGAATTTTAGTGCAGAATTCAGCGGCATAGACATTTAGTTCAGATGTGTTCACCTGCATTACTTAGAATGACAAAAAAATACACATTTGCTCAAAAAACAAAAACACAATACATCATAGCAGGATAAAAATCATAGAGTTTCTATTCGTAATACAAATTCTTATTTTAATTCGAATTATTATTATTCGTTTTATTCAAAGTATTCGTACTATTGAATTATTCGTCATATTCGAATTATTCGTTCTATTTAATTATTCGTTCTATTCGAATTATTTGTTTTATTCGAACAATTAAAGACGAGATATTATAATAACAATAATAAATAATAGTAATAATAATTATAGTAATAAAATAATAACTATAATAGTAATAATAATACAGGCAAGCTTAGTACCATCTGAAAAGTTTTTTCACTACTAGGATTTATTCAAATTTTTAGCCGGCTAAGATTTTTCATCATTATAGGTTTGATAATATACTAAATAATTCGAAATTGAAATGGCTGAAATTAACCCCTGTAATTCACTGCGATCTAATAGTAATAGTAATGTTCATACTTTGTTGTAGCCTATTTTCTTTTTGTGGCATTTAAAACAACCAATTTTCTGCGGATACGTTATAAATATACAGAAAGGGATTATAAGACCCTGCGTCATTGTTTATTATTTGTTGATATAGTATGAAATTATCTTTGTGTAATTTCTACATTTAAGTCAAAGAGAGGAGGATGAAATAAATGTGTAAACAATATAAATAATAAAGATTTGAATCAAAGATAGAAATGGAAATTTAGATGCATGTCAAAGAAAAACATGTGACGAATTTATTTTTAAAAATAGGTAATCATGTTTTTTTCGAGATAGCGAATAAGTATTATTGTTATAATTACCCTTATTACTATTATTAATATTTAATTTTCTCTCCACATAATAAATAAATTATTATTGAGCGAGGTGTGTAGTATGCATCATAAAGATTTTTTATACGGGAATTGACGGAAATATATTTACTAAATTAGGTTATATTAAGATATTATTATAAAAAAAATAAAAATTAGGCATTGTCTATATGTTTATTATTTAAGTGGTAAAAAAAAATTTTTTAAATATGTATATACTACATAAATAATTAACAGTTTGTTTTCCTTTTTGCAAAAAAAAAAAAAAATCATTAATAATAAGACACTTTCAATTTTTTTTGATCAAAATTATCAAAATAATTAATAATTCAAGACCAATAATAAAATAATAATAATAATAATAAAACAGCAAGGCTTTTTACAAAAATGTTACAAAAACTTCGTAATGTGACCACATCAATAGCAACAACCATTACTAACACTAACACTAGTACAAAATCCGATTTTAAAAAAGAAATTAATAACAATAGTATTAATAATAGTAGTAGTGATAATCATAATAGTAGTAACAAGAGTTCAATAATAAAAAAGGCAATGTCAATGGACTCTTTAAACCAAAAGACAATATTCTCTAATACTAAAAAAAGAAATGTAAGCCTTGATTCTAATTCATTTATTAACATTGAAGATAACAGCAGCAATAACAATAACAATAATGATGATGATGGTGACAATAATTGGTTCATAAATAATGAGGTTAGTATTTATAATAATATCATTATGTAATGTAACATGTTATCAATATTTTATAAATAATTTCAAACTCCTATTAATCACCTTTTTCAAATTATAATAATTCAATAAAAGATGAAAAATGACTATTTTAAAAGATATTCTGATTCATACATGATTGCTTTAATTGGTAAACCAAATGTCGGCAAATCAACGATAATTAGGACTGGTCTTAATAATTTAGCACCAATAACAAATGTCGGAAAAGAAGAAAGTTTGGTGTATGGTAAAATAAATAAATTTCTTTCTTGGTTCAATCTGATTAAATATAATAATATAATATAATATATATACATATTAGCACCTACATTAACAACAGAGATTGATGTTGATGATCATTCTTATCCAGCCCAAGTGTTGGAAATTCAAGAAAATGTATTTAATATGAAATCATCATCTTTAAAATGGCCAAAGGTAAAAATAAAAATAAAATCAAAAATAAAATGATGATTATAATTATAATATTAACTATTAATGATCACATAGGATTTACCAGATATTGATGGAATTTTAGTTTGTTATGATGTGACTTCAAGAGCATCGATTGCAAACATAGCATGGTTACTAAGTAAGCAAATTATCAAATGATCAATAAATAAAACAATATTTCACATTTCATATTTTGTAAAATTAATAATGTTTTAATTAGACGCGTTCAAAGAATTCCAAGTACCGATGATATTAGTGGCATGTAAAGCAGATTGTGATGAATCAGAACGTCAAGTTCCTACACAATATGGAGTAAAACTTGGTGATTTATTTCATGTTGGATTTGTTGAGTTGGACACAAGAACTGAAAATGGAATACAAAAAATACATGATGTGTTCTCCATGTTATTAAGATTATCAATAAGACATTCAGGTACTAATTGTTGCTTATTATATTTTATCATATTTATTATTATTAAAAAAAATTTTTAATAAAAAATTTACAACAAAATAAAAAGAACTTCGTCAAAAAATTTTAGGAAAAGAAAATCAAATAATTGATTCTTCATCAGAATCAATATATTTACCTAGTACAAGTAGTGATGCTGAATCAGACCAAAAATCATCAACAAGTCGTCATCATAGAAGGGCTGCCAGTGACTTAAGTCATGAATCAAGAGGAAGAAAAAAATTATCTTCTTTGTCAAGATATGTCAGTACTAAATACAATAATAGGTTTAACCCATCTAAAACTATCGAAAGAAAATGTAAATATTTCTTTCTTTCTTTCTTGATCTTTGATTTATTTTTTAATTTCTAAATTGATTTCATTTCTAATTTTTTTTAAAAAAAAAAAATAATAAAATAATAGCACGTTCACCTTTAAAAAAAGTTTTGAGCACTGATAATGATGGCCAAATATCATCATCAATGAAAAATCTTTCTCGATCACTTCCAAGATCAATGACATTCAAAAATACACCTGCAATTTCCATAACACCCCCACAAACACCTCCAACCACTTTAATATTACCGCAAATGTCATTTTCTCCAATTCCAAATACTACATCAACCACCACCTCACCAAACACATTTTCTTCATCACCAAATAAACATTTTAATAATCCATCTTCAAATTCTCATCGTAAATCAATACTACCTTCGTCTATTTTATTACAAGTGAATGAAGCTGAAGAAGAAAGAGATGAAGTTTCAATTAGATCTGGAAATAGTCGAGTATCTTGTTGTAGTTACAATTCAACTTTAAGTTCGATGAGTGGAAATAGTGAAAATTCATTACTAACTTGGGAAACATTATTCATTGGAAATGAATCATTTGATAAAAATTCAAACAAATGTTCTGGGTTCGTGTTGACTTATTCTAATTAATTATTTCTTTAAATTTCAATAAAATAAGTAAATAAATAAATAATTAATTTAATTATTGTTATTATTTGATGATGATATAGAAGTCGTGGTAATGGAATGGCAATTGAAGATTTAATTCAAAGATTAACAATTGGTAGTCAATATGGAACAGATGGTATGAAGAAATAAAATTTTATTAAATTTTTCGAATGTGTAAATGTATTTATAAAATTAAAATTATAAATTATAATATAGATGATCCGTTTATGGTAACGTTCTTTGTTTTTTATCGAAAATTTATGAGGCCAAGAGACGTATTATCAAGATTAATGCAAAAGTAGTGATTTTGAATAAATATTCTTCGCAAACTATTGTTTATTTATTGATTTTAATTTTAATAATATTAATATTTAACATCACTAATCAATAAATAATAGGTTCCATGAGTGTGAAAAAGATATTAGAGATAATAGGAATACTACACATGAAAAGTAAGATTTTTTAAAATTCTCAATCTTTTTATTGGTTTCAATAAATATAAAATATAAATTTTTATTTTATAGAATTTGTAACATTTTGTATCATTGGATGACACAACATCCAAATGACTTGATACATCCACAAACAAGAAATATGTTACACGAATTTCTCAATATCATCACGAATTGCGCACATCTTTCCTATTATGCTATAATACTAGAACGTTTAGTAAATGGTACTGTACCTGAAGATGATCCTGATGATGTATGGGGATTATCTGATATCGACAACAACAATGGCAATCATGATCTTCTTTACAAAGATAAAACATCAACATTATCAACCACAACAACATCAACAATGGCAACAGGTGGCCTAAAAACTAAAGCTTCAAATAGTGCTAAAAAAGATAGTGGATTTGGTGGATGGATATTTAACGGAGATCAAGAAGGTTATTTATCTGATATGGTAATAACTGATGAGAAGTCAGATGAATTACTATTATTGTCACTATCATCATTAATACAAGAAAAAGAACAAGAACAAAAAGTGATGCTATTATCATCATCGCTACCATCATTATCAACATCATTACATGAATCAAATACCACAAGCAATAATAATAATAATAATAGTAATAATAATAGTAGTAGTAGTAGTAATAATAATAATAATAATAATAATAATAATAATAATGATAATAATAATAATAATAATAATAATAATAATAATAATA